TTGCAGTATAAGTATTATACATATAATATATTTCATAATTTTTATGTTATATCTAGGGGATGTATTAAGTATGATGTATAGAAGAATCAGCTCTCAATTTAAACAAGCAAAGGCATTTTTCCAATCGATATTAAGTATTACGCCTCAACAGTCCAATCAACGTACTGATTTAGTACGAGATAAATTTGGATTACAAAAATACACATTACATGTATAATTATTCAATATTAATATTTAAATTCATTTCTAGTTGTATGGTATTGAAACTAGAAAAGGTGAAATTATTTGGCAACTTAGAGTACCGAGTATTCGAGGTTTTACTAAAAGATCAAATGCAATAATTTTATATGTACAACGTGGCAGTAGGCATTTTCCATATCCTCCACAATGTGCATTACTGGCAGAAGATAAAGTATGCATTTTATATTGTAAATTAAACTTGTATTTTATTCAATACACAACAATACTTTTTAAATATTTTAGAAAACGGGGGAAGGAATTGTGTATACATTTAATCCAATTACGGGCCACCCATTGGATGGTTTAGTAAAATTAGGATATAAGATAAAACAGTCCATGTTACTTCACATAACAACGGATGATTTCCTGCGAGGTATTCTTATTTTTGACACACGAGATAAAGCTCATGTGTATCCTGAAAGCGCAACAGCAATTGCGGCGTCTTTTGCTAAAAGTACATACATATTTACTGCTGATCAAACAACTGGAATATTATCTGGATTTTCTCTATCATATAGTACAGCTCATGTACGTATAAATTTAAATATATTATTTAGTTGATACATTATACCAGTCATTGATTTTAATTTGATTTTATAGGAACTTATTGCCCATAAAGTATGGGAGTTACTGCTTTCGCCGAAAAACCAAAGAATAACACACGTTGTATCGAAAAGTCCAATAGAACGTGTTCATTCGCAGGGTAGAGTTTTAAGTGATAGATCAGTACTGTATAAGTATATTAATCCTAACTTAGTCGCTATAGTAACAGAGGGTGTTGGATACACTCACAAAAGTATGTTATTTATAATACTATTAAACAAAAACTTGTTACTAAATTTTCATATTACAGAACCCTTTATTTTAATATAATTTATGCCTTATAGATACGCTTAATCTATATTTATTGGACGTGGTATCTGGAGCAATGATATTTTCTATTATGCATAAAAGAGTTCGTGGCCCAGTTCACGTTGTGCATTCGGAAAATTGGATAGTGTACAGTTATTTTAACGAGAAAAGTCGAAGAACAGAAATCGCTAGTTTAGAATTATATGAAGGAAAAATACAGAGTAATACCACAGGTAGTGTACACGATGTTTTATTATTATACTTTATTCAAATTTTTGTTCTGATGTAGATTAAATACCATTAATTTAATGTTTTGATTTTATTATAGTGTTCTCATCTTTATCTACAACTAAATTGCCAATTGTAGAAAGGCAAGCCTTTATTTTCCCCGCAACAATAGAATCTATGCGGGAAACTATTACCGAAAAAGGTATCACAAGCAAACATATTATAGGTACGTGAATTACATAAATATTATTCAAATTAGTATTATATAAATATTGATTGTTATTATGAAAGTTGAATAAACTTTTAACATCTACAAATAGAATAACATGATTACTTAATTTTTTTCCATTTTTGATAGTGGCTCTAGCTAATGGCGGAATATTGGAATTACCGTGGATGATGGTAGATCCACGGCGGCCTATTAATCCAGAAATGCGTGAAGAAGGTGTGATACCATATATGCCCGAGGTACCTATTCATATGGACGCAATAATTAATTATAATCAAAGCGTCTTTAGGGTATCTGGCATTCATACTAGTCCTAGTGGCCTTGAAAGTACTTGCTTAGTTTTTGTACACGGTCTTGGTAAGTACTTTAAAATATAAGTATATTTACTCCTACCTGCATCAACAACTAAAAAACTAACATTTATAATCCAATATTAATGACATGAAAGTTACAAAAGCACATGTAATTATGCATGTAATACGATGTTCGCAGACTTATTCTACACACGCGTGGCGCCGTCTAAAACATTTGACGTTTTGAAAGAAGATTTCGATTATTATCTTATTGTGATAGTATTGGCAGCGCTTTTAGTTTCATCGTACATCACAAAGAAACTAGCATCCCAGAAAGCGCAGAAACAAGCATGGAAATGATGTTTCATTTTTCTAGAAAATCAATGCATTACATTCTTAAGTATTTGTTCACTAAAAGCAAAACATTTTGCTAATAATAATTTGTAAAAAAAAAGTACTGTTTTATAAAATGCCAATGTTACTGCAAAGTGAATGTTAACAATTTATTATCTTACCTAAAGTATCTCAACATACATATATATTATTTGTTCCTTTATTGGTACAGAACGCACACACTAGATAGCATATTTTTGAACATTTCAAAGTGTGCTAATCATTGTATAACAAGAGTGGACCATGATCACCAATTATTAGATTATTAAAATAACTGACAACATGCTCAAAATATAGTTATTTTTCGTTAAAAAATACAAATATAATTATACATTTTTTTTATATACGTGCACTTATACTAATCAGAATAATTTCAATAGAAAATTGGGATAAAAGGAGTAAAATTGCTACAAACACTGCAAAAAAAAAACTAAAATATATGTTTAATTATTGAACGAAGATAACATTTGTTTCGCAGCTTTGTATTAGAAATAATCCGAAAATGATTAAAAACCAGTGAAGTCTAACGTTCGTCACAAATACGTTATTGTGACGATTGTATTTTATGGTTCCTTCTTTGCAAGAAATAAAATATTATTGTCGCATAAGTATATTATGAAAAATACATGTATAGATGTGTTCGAAATAGTTTCAAAACGTAAAAACTGAATGTACATAATAATCGTAGGAATGTCATTTTACTTTTTGTGGGTATTTATTCTAGTTTCTAGCACTAAAATTTCTGTATCTCACTATATTCTTCAAAATAATCACATTCACTTGCATTTATTGAAGAAATAAATAAAAATTATAAAAGTAACAAAAACACAGAAACTCAATATTTTAAATTTCAAATTTTTAGCATTTATGAGCATTTTTGGGGGTTTTTTATATTTCAAATATAATTTATTTAGCATTTTGACTTTTTAATTAAGATCACACAAAACTAAGAACATATATAATAAAATAAAATGACAACCTTCATAAATGTGTTACAATTAACACGTTAAAAATCAAATTATTTCACTCAGTGAGAAAAACGTAAAGTAAAATATATATCACAGTACAAAAGGATGATTTTATTTATTGTATATTTATGATTAAATAAACATTAAATGAGCTGTACCATCTGTGAATAGAGTACGTAAAAACGTATCTATTACATAGAATAATTATTTGCTTTGTAGATAAATGTAAAATTTTAAATAGACATAAGTTATTGTACAAATGTGCCGGTGATTATGAAAGTAGCTTAATTTAATATAGGTAGTTTTTTAAATATTTCGATTTTTGTACTTGTATGTACTAAAAAAAATTTCAATCGTTACCAAACGATTAAATTTGTAAGTATTTTTTCTAAGATAGATTCAAATTTCTATGATGTAGTTCGATGTAATACAAAACAAGTGACAAGTTGAATTTTTCCAAACTTTAAGCTCAGGCCATTTAGATAATCACCGGCATGGATAAAAATGTAAACAATAATATGAAACTGTAAAATGTCAAACACCATAATTGAATAAAAATTGTATACAAATAAAAATTTGGAAAATTATAAGTTTTAT